ACAATAAGTATATGAATCTGGAAAATATTAAAAATATACTGGGAAGTATGGCTCACTCTTCTTAATTTATAGATTAGATTAGATTAGATTAGATAGAAATCATGGATAATATTACTGAATTGATGTATTATCTTATAGCTGGCTTGCTTTACCTTACATTAGGAATATAAATTTGTCTCTGTGGAGTGTATGATAAGTTATGTAGAATTTAACCCCCCCCCCCCCCATTAACTTTGCTACATATTTCTGTTCAGAAGAGAATTTCTGTCTGGGGATGGTGGGGTGGACAGGGCTAAGAAGGCACAGGGGGTTGAATGAGAACCTCTAAAAAGTTACACCCATGTCCTAATCTTCGAATGTGTGAATGTTACCTTATTTGGAAAAAGGGCCTTTGAGGTGTAATTAGGTTCACGATTTTGAGATGAGGAGTCATCTTAGATGGTCTGGGTAGGCCCTACATCCATTGATAAGTGTTCTTACGAGAAACCGAGAAACCGAAGAGGAGATAGAAACAGGAGAAGGTGGTGTGAGGAGGAGCAGAGTGAGGTGTCCGGAAAGACTGCCGGGGGTGCCCACTGCCTTGGGATGGGGCACCTGCCAGGGGTGCCCACCGCCTCGGGGCGGGGCGCCTACGGGGGGGGGGGAGGGGGGGCCGGGTGCCCACCGCCTCGGGGCGGGACTGGAGCCTTCCCTACACCTCCGGAGGGAGTGTGGGCCCACCGATGCCTTGGCTTTGACCCGCTGGCCTCCAGAACTTCGAGAACATAACTGTGACCACCCGGTCTGTGGCGGTTTGTGACAGCAACTATCGGAAGCGAATACAGGAGGTTTTTCTGCCGTTGTTTGGGAATGGGACCAGAGACAAAATAGAAAATAAGAAAATGTCGTTAAAAACTCTGTACCTGGAATGTAAATAGTTATTTGTTGAAGTACATACAACACAGTTCCATCTTGGTGTGATTCATTCAGTGCTTCAAGGTGGTTCAGAGCCTCGCTTATTAGGATACGACATTTTCATAAAACGTGAATATCCCAGAGGTTTTTTCCTCCTGATACCGGCCAGTTCTCCGCTTCTCCGGCGCCGGCTGGGTGTCCTGCAGTTCCGCTCAGGTCTGACACCGACTCCATGCCATGTCCGTCCCACAGGGGGGGCTCAGTGCCACAGGACACCCATACTTCAGACACAAGTGTTAGGTGTCCAGGTTACTTGCTCTTTTGGGGGGTTTCCACAGCCCCCTTCCCCAGATTTCATAATTTACTAGAAAGGCTCACTGCACTCAGAAAGGTATTTTACTTTCTAGTTTAAAACGAATGGTTTACTGTAAAGGACACAAACGAACATCCGATGGAGAGTTCAGAGTGAGGTCTGGAAGGATCCCGAGTGCTGGAGTTTGTTCCCATGAGCTGATAGGTGCCACCCTCTGAAGCAATCCAGACCCTGTCAGCTAGTGGTTTTTATGGAAGTTTTATTAGGTAGGCACAGCTGATTAATTAAATCAGTGGTCACTGGTAATTCATTCAGTCTTCAGCCCATCTCCTCCCTGGAGGTTGGGGAGTGGGGCTGAAAGTTCCAAGCTTCTAATAGAGTGTTGGCTTTTCTGATGACCACCCCCCATCCTAAAGCTATTTGAGTTCTTGCCAAGACTCACCTCATTATAAGGAAAAAGGCTCCTGTCACTCTTATCATTCAGGAAATTCTAAGAGTTTTAGAAGCTCTGAGCCGGGAATGGGGGATAAAGACCAAATGTCTTTGTATGATTCCACAATATCAGATTAAGTTTTTTGAATGTTTGAATACATTGGATTTGCTATGTGTTTTTAAGTAACTGAGACCATGACTTTGAGACTCATGAATAAAATATGAAAGTCTTTTGAAGTTGTAAAGGGTGAACACAGTCACGGTGAAATGGAGTGATACTGTGAACAACCAGCCGTGTTTACACACACACTTGTTCAAGAAGCGGAACATTTCCTCACTCTTGGAAGGAGATGTTCTTCCTTACATACCCTAACCCTTTTCAATTACTTGTTGTCCCTAGAACTGCTTCCGGGTCACTGCTACTTTTATGAAAGCAAACCCCTCCCCCTTTTCTACTTTTTAGGAAGATAATTTAAAATTACGATGATCATTTATACAGTTGGAAAATAGTCATTAATTCTTTTGATCCACAAAAATTCTAATGGTTTGTGTATTTTGTGGTGCTTTTATTTTACAAGAAACATTGTTACCTTTTTGTCCTCTCTATTTCTTCTAAGGCCATCATGTTAATGCACCAAGGCTCTGTTTAAAAAGTAGTCCTTTTGGCCCTGGCCAGTTTGGCTCAGAGGTTAGAGCGTTGGCCTGCGGTCCAGAGAGACCCGGGTTCGGTTCCCGCTAAGGGCACGTACCTCGGTTGCAGTTTGTCCCTGGCCAGGTTGGGGTCGTGTGGGTGGCAGCTGTTCGATGTTTCTCTCTCTCTCCCCCTCCCACTCTAACTGAACAACAACAAAAAAGTAGTCCTTTTGGCAGGAAATGAACTGGTGCGACAGGGATGACTGCTCTGTCCCCAGGGCCTGGAAAGAGGTAGATACACCACTATAAATATTTGTTTAATAAATGACAAATCACGGGAACCATAAACACAATTCCATGCAAATGGGATTTTGCCACCATCTGAATAGCTGTAAACAAAGTATTTTTTGCATAAATTAGAGACCTTTATCTAGTTAATTATGATCAATATTTAGGTGAAGTGTGATTAAAATGTTGCAGTGAAGGTAATGTTTTTCCTCTCTTTATAATAGTTTTATGATTTTACACTTTTGCTGAACAAAGATGGTTTACAGTTTATATGCCTAGTTATTCTGAGGGTTTCCAACAATTACAATTTTTTTTTTTTTTACTCTGAGAAATTTTATGTTGAGAGTCATGTTCCACCTGCCCATGTAACTTATCACTGATACTGTATTACCTTGTTTCAAAGATGCATATTTTCTTCCCTTAAAAACAATAGAGCACATATTACAATCGTATGTATGCGCTTGATGTAGTGTTTCTGACTTCTTTGTGGTCCTCTCCATTGTTAAATGGATGGGGACATAAATAAGGGGCATTTGAGAACAAAGAAATAATCTCTGACCTCTTTCTGGGAGGTAACGCCAGCCCTCTGCCTAGGGCCTGCTGGGATGTTAGATGGTAAAGCCAGCTGGCGAGAGTCCCCGTGGGTGCCGGGCCTGGTGCAATCTAGGTAAAGTGGATGGAGGGTTCCGGCTGATTAAAATAAGTACTGATTAGACAACATGGTGCTGTTTTGAAACTAATTTCACACACATTATTGTGTTTTGTCTTCTCAGCTGCCTTAATTGGCCCCGTGTTAGAAACTGAAGCACTGATTTATGAGCTGTTGGACAAATATCCAAGCCAGGACTAGACTGGGGCCTTCTGCCTTCCAAGTCCACGGTGTCATTTCCCTCCACCCTGCTGCCGTCCTGAGATGGAGTGGGCTGGCTTCTGTCCCCTCTGCTCTCTGTGGGGGCTCCTGGGTGGCCCTTCAATGCTGAGAGGACTCATGATCCACACTGTGGTCTCCGCTTTCTTTCCCTGTAACGTGTCACAGAATCCAAGTTTCTGATCCGCGTGGTTCTTTCCTCCCCTGCCCACCACAAAGTCCTCAAACGTTCTCTATCCTTTCCCGAGAAAAAGAGAGTATTCTTTTCATTCTAGACCGTCTTCTCTTAATTGTTTTGACTTTGAAATGTTCATTTTCATGGGTTTTTGGTGGCACTAATCTTTTGTTTATTTTTTCTATGAAGATACTGCCCTGTGGGCAGTTTTTATGTTAAGGTTTTTTTTCGTCTAAGGATTTTTTGGTTTTATGATCTCAGATTCCAAAGCCGTTTTTATTTATATAATAGAAATGCTGGTTGGCACAGAAATATTACTCTTCCCTGAAGACAGGAACTACATCTGTTACAAAATTCAGGTTTGGTCCTGTCCTTCCAAGTATTTGTTTGAGAGACAGTCTTGATGATCCGTGTGCTCTGCTGTGAAGTTGCAGTACGGCAGACCCTAAATTAGTGTCGCCGGGGCAGCGCTCTGCCGTCGTGACCAGCACGCTGCCTGCAGACTTGCTTGCTTTACAGCACACCCTCCTTTATTTTCCCACTTCTGGGACGTGTGCAGAAGTTGTTTTAATTTCGTAGGTCTGGAAATCAAGATACTAAGTTAAATGTGACAGTTGATAGTAACAGCTGAGCTATTTTTATAACCAGACTTTGTGCTCTGTTTACATGTATGGTTTCAAAAAAGATCCTTACCTTTGAGAAAGTGACTTTCATTACCCTCATTTGACACAGGAGGGAAGTGAGGTTTTAAGAGGTTCAAGGACACTTAATGTGATGTGGATGGTCAGTTTGGAACCAGCTCCGTGTCGCCAGCTGAGGATGCTGGTTGAGAGCAGGGTGGGGATCGGCTGTGTGAGGGCAGAGAGCCTGTGATGGGTGACAAGTCGGGGTCCAGAAGAGAGGGGTTGTTTCTGGCACGTGAGTGGGAAGCAGAAAGGAGAGGGTTCCACCGCACATAGGAGCACGGTCATAGATGTGTGTAACTCCTTTTAGAGCTAGGCTGGCATCCTTGACACTTCCTCATTCACCTAGGACATCACCTTTCTGTGTTGTGACTTTGCTTTGCGACGGTGCAGCTTAGGAGGGGTGTGGCTTGGAAAAGAAAATATTTCTCAAATACATCAGTTCTTTTATCTGTAAAATGAGAACGTTGGATCAGATGATCTGAAAAAGCCCCTTGTATTATGTGGGAATTTTAAAAATGGGCAGAAGAAATTGTAAATTCAAGATTCGAATTTTATGATTGTTTTGCTTTCCTTTTTCTGAAATAATCTTTTAAAACAACATATTGTCAAGTTGTCTTGAACGATATTATTTGGGTATTTGGGAGGAAAGGGGCTTAACATTTTGTAGCAATACTATCACACTAATACAAACCTATTTTTCTTTTTTCTTAGGCCCGGCAGGAGCAGCTAAAGATGTGTAAGTATTAAAGATGTGTTAATATGATTTGCTGAACTTTCGGAGGAAGACACTATTTTTCATGATTATGATCTTTAGATATATGTAGGTATGGCCAGAAACATGGAAATACTTTCTGTACTATGTACAAATCGACATTATCATTTGGTTTATGACTAAAGTGCTATTTGAAGAATGTGATTATTTGTGACTTGACTTTAGCCTTTCAGTGGCCCTAGGCCTTTAACTCGGAATTTAAAGGGAAATGCTGTGTCTCCATCCCAACTTCTGTAGAGATTTCTTGTAGTTAAAAGCAAGTGACTGTGAGCCTCCTAGCTCCTGGGACTGTGCAGGGTCGTGCAGGCAGCCGTGGGGAGAGGCTGGGCCCAGCACTGCCATGTGCACAGTGAATGGTGGTAACGTTGAAAATATTTGAATGAGTGTATATCAGCCCAGCCAGTCAATGCTGAGTTGATCTTTAGACCACAGAACAGTTAATAAAAAAGCTTCTCTTGCCCTGGCCGGCGTGGCTCAGTTGGTTGGGTGTTGTCCAGTGCGCTGAAAAGTTGCTGGTTCAATTCCTGATCAGGGCACATACCGGGTTTCAGGTTCGATCCCCTGTAGGGGGCGTGCAGGAGGCAGGTGATGGTCTCATTCTCACATCGATGTCTCCCTCTCCCTCTCCCTCTCCCTCTCCCTCTCCCTCTCCCTCTCTCTAAAAATTATATATATGAGCTTCCCTTTTTGAGAGGCATCCGGAGCTCAGGAACCCATTCGGTCCTCCATATGCCCCTTTTCACACCTTCCTATCTCCAGTCTAAGTATAGTGAGGCCTTTGCATTAGTTGTACTCCATGGAGGGCGGGATCAACCCCTGTCCCACTCACCCCAAACTGGTCTGATTTCAAGGCTGATGGTGCCACACGTACACCAAGAGGATATGGGAAGATTTATTACGTAATGAGGCTTTTCGGGGGTGTGGGCAGGATAGGCACCCAAACTGGTCCATTCAGCTCGGGTGAAGGAAGAAGGGCTGCGCGGCTTTGGTTTTGGGGGTTGGGGTGCGGAGCTGGGATGCGGGCTCCTGTGTGTGGGCAGAGGTTCGCACGGTGTGCTCTCCCTGCCAGCACGAGGAAGGCGTGCCCGGCCCTCTGCCAGTGTGCACACACGTGGGGCATAAGGGGAGTGGGGGGCTTGAGAGCCGTCAGTGGTCAGACACCAGACATAGACTTCTTTAGTTATAAGGAAAAATTCAGAGATTAGAATGGGGTTGTATAGTTTCTTGGGAAGTAACTGCATTTTATACGGTGCAAAGGAAGCAATATAGGTGGCCTCGAACTCCTGGTTGCCGTGTTTGGGTGTGTTATGAAAACCTTTAGCCACAGTGAGTTCAGCATCCTTACCTTATTCTTGCTAGTGCAGTGTCTTGGTCTCTCCTTTCCATGTTTATATGTTGTTGCCAGATTAATTTTCTCAAACACTCTCCTGCTCTTTTAGGACCCCTGCTCAGAAACTCGCAATTATTTTTCATGGCTCGCTGGATTCAGCACAGAGTCCTTTGGGAATAGGAAGTCCACTTATGCTTTAGCTGACCGACTGCACGAGGTGGAAGGGAACACGGCACCCAGGGACTGAGCAAGGTCAAGGTCAGAGGGATGTACTGACATTCGCTCAGTGAGACCCTCAGGGGCCCGACTGGCCTCACGCTTTCTGTCTCGGTTCTTAGTTTTTTGCCATTTCCTCTTCATGGACTTGCATTTCCCCCAGTTCTGTTTGTAAAAATTCTGTCTGTTTTTCAGGGCTTTCATGTGAAAAGAATTTCATATAATCAACTGGATAGAAGTTCTCTTCTGAACTTTTATAGCAGTTTGGGCCTCTCTTATGATACATCATGTTGGGCTTATATTGTTATTTATCTTGTCCCCTTGGAAATCGAGGGAAGGGAAATGTCTTGCCCATCTCAGCGTCCCCTGTAGTTATTAGTATTGTGCTTTGAACGCAGTGCTGATTGAATACACAGAGAATGAATTGCATCAATTCTCTCTAAGCAGAGACTGATTTCATGACTTCCTCTTTCTTTTAGAGGCACGGAAATTTCTAATAAAATTCATGGATGCCTTGTGGACTTTTTGTCAACAAAATTTCACTATTCCAGGATGTGAGATGCCATTTAACTACTTTTTAAAATCCTGAATTCTCTTTAAAAAAAAGTCTGAATTCCCCAGATATAATTTTCCTGTGGCTATATGTAGCTCATTGTATGTCCTGTAACATCTAGATCTAGATATAATTTTATTGAATAAATGACCCTTTTAAAAATAAATGTAGTAAATTTAATTGGAAAAAGTTAGAGTATTATAGTATTACTTTTCCATGCACAAAGTTATATTCAAACACGTTCTGTTTCTAAAAGTAGAAACTACAGATTTATGCATCTTGACTATAACAGGTGATGCCATGAATGAATCAGGAGCTGAGAAAGTGAGACAATTTAAACTTTTTATTATGAAGATTAAAAAATAGAGCTTGATCTCAAACCAACAGGAGTAACCAAAGTCACAACAGCGGGTGCGAAGGGCACAGAACTTCCAACAGGGCACCCGCCAGGTTAAACAGACCACAGAAGGGCTTTTAGAATAATTATGGTTATTTTTAGGAGTCAGAAAGACTAGAATTACTCCCTTAATAATAATTTTAAAAAATCAATTCTTTAGAAAAGTCTGCAATTTTTACTATATCTCCCCTTTTCTATTTATTCATAGGCAAGAAGCCAGGATATAATAACAAATAAAGTGATATTTCTTCCCTTAAGTAGGCTGTTGTCTCCTGGGGACTAAAGTGCACTGTGATAAATGCTAATTATTAAAATAGTAAGACTTTTTTTTTTTTTAATCCTCATCCGAGGACACTTTTCCATTTTTTGCTCAGATAGAGTGGGAGGGAGAGAGAGAGAGAGAAACATTGACGTGAAAGAGACACATCAAGTGGCTGCCACCCACACAACCCAACCAGGGCCGGGGACAAACTGCAACTGAGGTACATGCCCTTAGCGGGAACCGAACCCCAGTCTCTCTGGACCACAGGCTGACACTCTAACCGCTGAGCCAAACCAGCCAGGGCTAAAATAGTAAGACTTTAATGCTAGTCTGGGTCTTGGAGGGTTGGAGGCACAGAGTGACGGGGGTGAGGCCACAGGAGGGTCAGACAGGAGACAGTCACCATGGGAAAGGAGGAGATGTGGTCAAGGTGCACTTGGAAATAGAATTGACAAGATCTGTTGAATGACTGAATGAGGAAAGGAAAGGAACATCTGAGGATGACTCCGCAGTTTCAGACTTGAGCCAGGGGAAGGGATGGCTGATAATCCATAGAGATGAAGTAGGCTAAAGGGAAAAGAGAAGCCATTGGATGTGGCATGATGGCCACACTGGTCACCGGGGAGCTGTACCTTCAGTTGAGTGGCATGAGCCAAAGTGGAAGCGAGCGAGGGGCCGGGAACTGTGTGTGGTCTTTCATTTCATGTCTGGCGGGAAGGGATGGAAAGGTGTTGGTAGCTGAAAGAGGAAGCATCTTTTAAAAACATATATACTTCTTTTATAAAAGGGATACCAAAAAAATTTGGAAAGTACAGAAAAGTATTTTTTTTTATAAAAGAGAAAAAAGCAGCTGTTATCCTGCCAGCAGCAGCCATCATTGATCGATTACCCTATTCCATTTTTTTCTGATTACTTCTGCCTGATTGTGTGCATTGAAGTCTGTTACTCTTTTATTTAATTTTTGCACAGAGGAGATGTAGATGTACTTACAGGATAAAGGGTAGAAGCCAGTAGAGTCGGAAAAGCTGAGGGTGGTTTGGGGAAGGAGTTACCTGTGGTGAGGGAGAAACTACTGATGGAAATAGATATTAGAACAGGCGACAAAGATTAAAAATGTAGATTAACCTTAGAAACTTGAGATAAGGAGGAACGCATGGGTGAGGATATGTAGAAGTTCAGTGGCATCAAGACAGACTCGTGTGCATATCAGGGGGTGCACCTTTCTTTTTCTCTCGCTCCCTGTCTCTTCGAAATGAAATCCCAGCGCAGGGACATGCAGAACAAGCTAGATGTGGCTTCCACGTGATGACATTTGGCTGCTTTCACAAACTTGCAAAGATCAGCCATGCTTTTTTTATTTTTAATTTCAGTGAATGATCTTAGCTCTTTGGCACAAGTAGGTTGTGTTGGGATATTTTTGGTTGGAAATGGCAGAAGTCCAGCTTAAAGTGGCTTAAACAAACAAACGAGAAGGAATTTACTGGCACGTGTAACGGAAAAGCTCGGGGGCTTGGGCCTCAGCTTGGCCGGGTCCAGGTAATCAAATGACAGGAAGAAGCTCTCATCTCTGCCTTCCTGCTGTTGGCTCCATTCGTAGGCAACTTTCCCCAAGTGGTGAAGCAAATGCCAGTTTGTATCTTATCAGCTTAATCATTCCTGTGGGGGGAGGGCTTTTTTTCCAGAAGGTTTGATTAAAAGTCCTAGTGTGAGGCTCTCCCTGGCCAGGACATGGGCTCTTATGCCTCTTTCTGGATTAGCCAGTGGGCAGGGGGAACCGTGAGCGTCTCATTGGCCAGGCCTAGGTCATGTGCTCACTGCTGGAGCCAATCGGTACCATTAGCTCCACATGATCATATGGCCAAAAGGTGGGAGGGGCTGGTTTCCACACCAAAGAAAAATTGGGATGCACTTACCAGAACAGGGGCAGTTATAACTGGGCAGGCAGACTCAAAGCGTGTTCTCCCTGTGGAGGTCAATTTTCACATTATTAAAAAAAAAAATCTCTTGCCCTGGCCGGTTTGGTTCAGCGGTTAGAGTGTCGGCCTGCGGTCCGGAGAGACCCGGGTTCGGTTCCCGCTAAGGGCGTGTACCTCGGTTGCGGTTTGTCCCCGGCCCTGGTTGGTCGTGCGGGTGGCAGCCACTCGATGTGTTCTTCACATCGATGTTTCTCTCTCTCTCTCTTCCTCTCTCTCCCTCCCACTCTACC